CTTATTTTACCTTGGATATAGAAGGTTTGGGATTATTTTGCATTTCTCCAATATTTTAAAAAATACTGTAGGGCCTTTTCACCTTTTCCCCCAAGACTCATAGGTTTATTTCACTTCACGGACATCTTACAAGTGTTACAACTTTGTATTGGATTTGCACGGTTTTGGTAGGGGTGTGTACAGGGCTGTTCTTTCTGAGAAGCTGATCTGCCAGCTTCCCGTGTGTCTGATGATGCCCAGGCAGTCCATCTCCAAGACGGAGCCACAAAGCAGAGCAGTTTTACCTTTCTGGCATCAATTCTGCTCTTTCTACTGGGAATAACCCGGAGTAATACATTGTTGCTGACAGTCAGAGGTTGTATCAGTTCTCATGCTGGCTAGAAACTTCTACAGGCCAATGGCTGCTGGATGAGGATACAAAATAACCCTAAAAGGAACATAATAGTGAGGAGACCAGTGTCTATGAGGGGAAAATATATTAAACTGTTACATATAGTTTTGCCACTACATTTTATTCAATAAATGCTACAAGTTTCACTGATGGTACGTTTAGTAATAATTAAGAAGTTGATACTTTTCATACATAGCTTTGACACATAGTGTCATACTTGCTCACCTAACTTTAGTGAAACTGCAAGTCAAATGCAGGAAGAGATACTACGATCTTGAGGCCCAAAAATGCAAGATGTCCTAAAAAGAGAGATTTGAAGTGAGTGCTGCCATACAGGCATAAACCTTTTTGTTTTGGTTTTGTATAAAAACATGGCCTTCTCTGCTGCAGTTTAAAAACAAATTTTTAAAATATTTGGCGCTGTTTTCAAAGCACTTATGTGAATACATCTGAACACTTCAGTTTGGGTTTCTGAAGTTACGTCAGAAATGCAAGGAGAGATTGAGGTAAAATCTTAATGCCTTTGGCTCCTGTGTTCATGGCGTCAAATTAAAGCTTATTATTGACAACTGAAGTATTAGTATTACCCCTATTACTACAAATAGGTGCTTTCTCATTGACTTCAGGAAAAAAAAAAAAAAAGGTTTTATGTGATTTCATCTTAACTATTTTAGGGGCTCCAACAGAAAAGTCTGCTACCTGAAATAAGCCAAATATTTTATTTCTAGTCTGTTACAAGTAATTTGTTATCAAGCCATAGAAGGAGCTCACTTGAACTGTTTCAAAGTTTAGGAATCCTACTTTACAAACTCTGTATGCAGTTAATACCTTCTTTTCCACAAAGAGTTTTCAATTGTATTAACTTTCAGATGAAAGGTAGGCAGGAGAATTAAGTTCGATGCTGGCAGTTTGCGTGAGCAGCTCCCTAAACATCTGATAATGAAAAACATGTCTCCGTGTCACTTACAAAGCTTTCCTCATTAACTCTGAAAGCCAGGCTGATGCTTCCAATAAGCACTTAGTTTTGCATTTTCTACCAGCATACATTTACTGATGAGAACTCCTAAACAACGAAAACATACATAATTATAGGGCTAGAGAGGTTTACAGGGTGGCTCACATTTGATGACCTGCTATATTTTTTCTATTTTCCTTGCTAATGCTATGATTTACAGCCAAGTACATGCCCATTATAGGGAGAAAGCAAGCTGTATTTTTCTTAATTAACCGGTAGCCCTATAAACCTGCAGAGGCTGGTATTACTACAGTATTTTAGAGGAATACATATTAATCAGTAGCAAAAACAAAAATAGAAGAGCCAGCCCATGCAAAACTGGAAGTAAATCATGGGGCAATGTTTTTTGCATTACCTGATCCTTCAAAACATTTGATGATAGGATGTCTCAGAGATGCCTGTGAACTTTGACAGAGAAGATTGTTAAGGAATTATGCTAGGAGGTAGCACTGTGTCTATTACTCTCCTCATACTGCAATGAATCCAGGTTGTCTTAAGAAATCCTTATATATGGCAATTTGATTTCCTGAAATGTGTATGAGTCAACCATGTTGAGTTCTGGCAGCTCCAGCCTATGAAGAGCATTTCCCCTTGTGGAGTAAGTATCATCTGGCATGCCTGCCTCACACATACCGGCAGTCCACTATCTAATTAATTACTTCAGCGTTGAGTCATGCCAAATGAGACTCCTAAAGGCAATCTGGTAACAGGAACTCAGCTGTCAGCAACATCACTGCATCAATAGTGATGCATTAAGTGTTCCACAGATGACTAATTAACATCAATCATTTTCTTCTTCACTAATGTATTTGGTGAGCCTCGCAAGGTCCACACGAATCCTGAGACCCTTGATCAGTCATACTATTTAAACTGCATCTCAATACATTCCAAGCACCGTGGCATATTTACTTCCTCTAACGTTTATAGACACAAATCCATTATTATTTGTGAAAGAAGACATAGATTTCAAAATCTCAATTAAAAACTCTAAAAAATCATTCCATTTATATGACTACCCTGAAGATCTCAAAAATCTTTTACGACTTTTGATATCCTTTCTTTTTAAAAAACATTCTCATTTCTATATGATTTTACTGAAGATCAGCATTTAAAGGAGTTCTACTCCTGCATTATCCTCTGTTCAATAAGTTCCTCAAAAAGAGACAAGAAAACCAAATCTCTGATATTCAGAACTCTTATAGTATGAGTTATAATACCTTAATGCAGTTCCAAATATATCCTAATCTTCAGTCAAAATTAAACAAGAAAATTACAATTGTTCCTTTTACTCATGTTAAAACTGTCTTCAGTAAAATGCAAACTCCTTTTCCATTGTGAAGCTGCCATTTTATAAGCTGACTCACAACCACCACGTTAAACGGTGTTGCAGAAATGATTTCCAGCAGTATTTCCTTTAGCCACAGTTACAACCAAAGACAGAAGGCTTGCCAGAATCAAAAACTGTCTTCAGATAGGCTGGACTAACACCAGCCAGCCACCACTGCAGCTGTGCCCACCCACAGCGAAGTTTTATCATCTCTAATACGAGCTCCAAACAGAGCATCAGGAGTGCAACACGAAGACTTCAGAGGACTTTCCCTCTGTACAAACATTTTTGCACTGTGTTGCAACATATTGTTTATCTCTGTTGCTCTGCTCACTCTTGGTACTGACAGGTTGTGTCACCACTATGAGAAGAGAATTCTTCCCTTTATTTTCTCATAATACAGCTCCTGCCAGTTTCATTACATGTTTTCCTATCATTCCAGGACTTCCTCTCACCTTTCGACAAAGGATAGGACATTCTAAATTTTTCCAAGTGGAAGAACATTTCCCATACATATGTCACTTTCAAAAGCCAAGTTTACTTTTGGTGACAGTCATGGTTTCCCCTTCAGAGAGACCCCTTCTGAAGCTATATCCAGATTACTTATTAACTTCCTTCTACCTACCCTCCTACCTGGTCATCTGCAGTGTGTGCATGGGATACTCCTTGTTTACCCAGACCTTTTTGACGTCAACTGGCAAGAAAACAGATGTGACTCTAAGTCAGATGTCATTGCTGTCCTGTTGGGAGGACTTATCTGTCAGTGAAACACGACCTTCAGATCCAACACTTCTGAACACACCTGACAACCTCCTCTTCTGTCACTAAACACCTCTTGGCATTTTCCAGCTTGACAGGACAGACATAGGGTGTCTATCTGCACCCAAAGGATTAAATTTCAGTATTTCCTTCATTCCAAGGAAGGGATGGGTAACAATCTCAGAGTTGAATTTCCTCACAAAGCATTTGAAAAATGTAATTTGAGAATCAAGTTCTTCCATGCTCACTATTGTAAATCAGGCAAAGCACAAAAGCAGATGTGACATAGCATATTTGTTGTGGTTCATCATTTTTACTCGTTATGACCTTGTTCCCTCTTTTGTCAAAATGGTTTGTCCCAATGTTGTACCCCCCTGTTTGGTTTGTTCCAGGTTGCCCTTCTTCAATCACCCCTAAGCTCCTCCCCTTCTTCCAGACCCTTCCCTGCCCATCACTTCAAACCCAACCCTCCAAGTTGTCAATCCCCACTGGCCAAGCCTGTTATTCTAGAAGGTTCACTCTCAGTTGTAAATTATGTATTATGTGATTGGACCTTGTATGTTGAACCCCTCCTACCTTCCCCCTCATTGGTTTGCTGTGATTGTAGTCCCTCCCTATGTCACTCCCCTAAGTTTCCTCAATTGGTTTCTGTACTGTACGCTCCCATGGGGGAGGGCCCTTATTTAAGTTCATGTACAGCTGGTCTCCTCGCCTTTCTTGGTATCCCTTTCCCAACTCTGCTTGTCCCCCTACCCGCTCCTCTAATAAACTTCTTGGAACTTCAAAAGGACCCTCTCCGACTCTTTGCCTTTCCCCAGACGCCAACAACTGCTATAAAGGCTCTGAGCCTTACCCTCATCCTGGGCTCCGAGAGACTCTGGAAGAGGGCCACTCTTGGCATCTCCCCCACCTCAAGAGCTAGCTGCGTGGGTTGAGATCCATGGACAGAGGCAGGCGGCGTCACATATTGTCATAGGTAAATACTGTCAGTTAAATGTAAAGAGCAAGAAGACGGTATAGAAGAAATCAAACCATCCTGAATGCTGTAAAGACAGTTACTGTAACTTCAGTTAAATTCTTTGTACATCTTAATCAATACCGGACTAGAAACTGGGGAGAGAGTAATTCTATAAGCAGCACCACACGATGCAAGTCTTGTCTTATCAGAGAAAACTACATCAGATCCAGATGAATCTCTGAATTCTGAAAATGAAAAGAAAGTATGAGACTGGTTATGAGAAATTCTAAAGTCTGCAGGGTTTTCTTTATAAAATATTGTAGCAACAAGATCACAAATCTGTAATGCGCACTTATACATGGTAAAAAAGCTTTAATTGTTCATGAATTGTACTGATGCTGATGGTATTTATGCACTTGTTTCTTTTTGTGGGGAAAAAAGAAATTAACAAAAACCTGAAGGCATAAGGGGAAGATCCCATTTGGGAACCCACTGACAGAATGCTGCAAGTTTTTCCTTCAGAAAACCATTACAGCTGCTTTAGCTCTTCCTATCTCTGTTTATTCTAGACTTTCAAGTAGATTTCCAGGTAGCAATAATACTTCCAAAGGTCGCATAATACTGAATTTCAATTACACAAAGAAGCTTTATTCCAAAGAAACAGTAAGTTGTTACATGTATGAAATAAATAACTGTGCTTACAGATAGGATTTCTGGGTATTTTCAAAGAAATTCTGTTCCTAATACACAAAAATGTGCATTAATACAAATCCCCACATGCATCATCATACACAATGCCAACATTTACATAAAAGGACCTTAGATGTCAAATCAGGGTTTGGAGCACTTTAAGGCAAGCATTGGTTTACCATATTTGATTGCATATAATCTCTAGCATAAACACAACCTTTTAGATCTCTGTTGTTTCAAAATTGATACTTTTAAATCGTTCTTCAAGCACATCAGAATCTTCATCACTGTCTGCACTACTAAAATTTGTATCAAAATCCAGCTCATTCTTCAATTTACTGCTCTCTTGGTCATTTTTAGAAGCTTCACTCTCAGTTCTGTCTTGTTCTTTATCAATCCTGTAGAAAGTAAGAGGGATATTATCACCACCCATCTCTGGAATTTAAACAAGAATAGGATGGAGGATAGAATATCCTCCCAGCATTCCATCCTAATAAAGGATGGAAGGTGGAAAGATGTGGAAAGAAGAAGGAGAGGGGCAATAAAAGTCCCTAAAGTTACTTCACACTAAATAGGAGGGATATAAAACACAGTAAAACACAACCAAGTATGCATTACAAAGTATTTAGTACAGAAGAGACTGTAAAGGAAGATAAATAAACATTTGAACAGCTTGACCAATTAAGCAACTGCTGGACTGTGAATTAATGTTTTATGTATCATGCTCAATGAACACAAGCAAAATGCCAAAAGCCTGCTAAATGTACTGTGGTAACTGTACTCAATATCAGTCCTTGTTTAATTCTTCTGTTCACTAGTAACTAAATCATCAAGAGGCAGACAAAATGCAAACAGTAAAGTGACTTCTGCATATTTTATGATGCTCAACCAGAACCCATTTTGAAGTGCTTTGTTAAGAAGATATACAATTTACCCATTGGTGTTAAAATGTCTTATCCAAGTAGGACTTGTTTTGTCTCAGCCCCACTAATATCAACAAGCATTTCATCCTCAGTTTCATCTGAAGAAAGTGAAGAAAATGTCTCCTACTGATTCATGTTGGGATTATTGAGAATATGGCAAAAATTACAACAGCTTCTTGGCAGTTTTCAAACAAGGCTTATTACAAGGGGAATTATCAGTACAGGACTGAAACTATGTACTCTAGGAGTTACTTACGGAATTACTATTTCTTCTTGTTTCCCACACTTAGCACAAATTTCTAATTTACCAGCACACGGTCGACAAATAATATGGTAAGGATCTTTTACAGTTTTCTGGAGGCACTTCACACTGTGAAGAGAAAGAAAGCATGATTAAAAAAGTATTGTGGATGCTTACTAAACATTCTGTGTTCAAACACAATATACAAAAGAGGAACAAACACTCCACAAAAGAGGAAGGCCGGTTTCAAATTAAACACTTTGTGTTCTATCAAGTACCACTATCAAAATCACTGCTACTCAGCCCTATCCCTGACTTTTCTCAGGAAGAATTACTAAAACAAGTACTGAAAAAGAAACATTAAATAAAGAATTTAATATTTAAGTTGACAAAAGAAACATTTCTGTTCATTTTAGTACATAGTTTAATTTACTTTAAAATTGCATAGCTTCTGGTTTCATGATAGAAGCAGCATATGGCACAAAAAATACATGGACTTTACAAATACAAAGCTTTCACTCCAAACACTGCAACGACTTCCTTTTGAACTTCTCAGATTATAAAATAAGTCAGCGCTAGACTTTTGTTTTCTATGAACACAAGCCTGCATGGAGCAGTATTCTCAACAAACCCAACCTCATAAGGTAGAGGGCTCGGCTATTCTTTTTCAAAATATGATAATATTCTGTAGATTTAGCAATTTCCAAATTTCTGTGGCTTAACATTCAGCTGACATTACTAAAGCCTTGTATATCTGGAGAACAAAACCTAGAACAATATACTCCTTTAATGTTGCTGTCTTGAAAGTAATTTTCTTGGATCTCATGTCCTCAGAAGTTCTTCCCAGACATGTCATACTAAGCAGGGGCACTACTAATGCAAGGCAGATTTATATATTTTTTAATATGTAATCACTAAATAGCTAATAACTAAATACTCGAAATAGAAGTAAAGTAGGGAGAACTTGTAGTTGTACTAACACTCATCATTTTAAAGATGTTAAAAAACTAAAAATACATTGAGGTACAAAGAAGGCCTCCATCCCCATTTTTGCAATATGAAGAATTATTTTTATTTTTAATGTCTATTATGCTTTTACTTCACCCAGAGGCTTCATCTGTTGAAAATTTTTATAGTCTTGTCCTTTCAGAACAATGGCTCACCTAGCCATTGTACTGATGGCCTACAAACCATCATCTGTAATGTTAGAATGCTCTGAAGCACAACTTTCTCATTCAAGAATATGAGAGAGAACATCACATATTCTGTTATAAGCTGCTGTTCTACAATGTCACTTTTTCTACATCCAATGCTTCCCTGATTTACATGGTGGTTTTGCCTGCTTTCTTCCCTTTGGGGAAGAAAACCAAAAAAAAACCCAGATGCAAACAGTTATTTGAGAAAAAGTTAAAAAACCACAAAATTTGACTTAATCTGTGGTGAACAGAACAGAGAGTGTTTATTTTTTATTCAGCAAGCCTTCTACCTAATAATTAATTTTTTTACACGAAAGGGTGAAACTGATTACTAATACCAAAATACAAGCTACTGTGACAAACCTGTCTATATTGCACACCACAGCCCAGCTTGGTTTCTCTGAACTCTGTTTCACTGCTGAAACACCTGTGTCTGCTACCACAGGAGGTAAGGACCTCTGCAACTGAGCAAATAAGAAAGAAGCAGAAATCATTCCCTTCCGAAAACTAAAATAATTTATATGTTTGTGATCGATTAACATATTTATCATCTTTGTTTTACAGTTACACAAAAACAAGTAATACAGAACTCTATGCAAACAGTGCCATCATTTACTGCTTATGATTATAGTTTCTTCCAGAAAAAGAGCAAGCATGCTAAGAGGTAATGAAATTGCAAACATTAGCAGAGTACAGAACTCAAGAGATGTGCAGATCCCTCTAATACACATGTGAAAGAAGACTTTAGAGAATCATGTTACAACAGGTTTAGGTTTGACTTTTTGTTCAGGAGAACACACTTGATGGGCTTGGAAACTTACAGGTCCACAGTTCAACCAGTTTTAACAGCAAAGAGGGAAGCAGTTGCTTCTCCTCTGTGTTTTCTTTTCAAAAGTTTAACATAAAAGACATGAATTTGAAAATTAACATTGCCTATATGTTGTCATTGCACATGAGACTCCACATTTGAAAAATGTTGCATAATGGCAGCTTCTTCCTGTGAGTTTCCAAAGCCAAAATGTTTTCCAAAAGCTCACAAACCACACAATCAACAATTAACAAAAAGTATCTTCACTCACCATTTTTTAGGTTTTGTAAGTAGTTTGTACTTTCTGAATTTTACCCGCCATTCCAAGATACCTTTGCAATGCTGACACACTCCATCATGACGCTTAGCATTTATTTTCTGAATAAGTAAAATTTAAAAAAATACATTAATGACTTCCTTCTGTAAAAAGTAAAATCTTGCTTAGAAAGCATTTTTGCCCATCATATGATTGATACTACAAATATGTACTACAAATATGTTTGCCTTTCATATACATTTGTAAAGAAAGTTTCTTCAATGGAAAGAGTATCTTGAGATTAAAGACTAGATTACTAATATTATTGTTATTATGTTCTTAATAGTGATACTTCTTTTTGTTATTATATTGTTGATAATAGATTACTGTAGGTATTCTATTATTTTAATCTCCAGAAATTTTACAATATGGATTTAAGTAGTAGTAAGCCCTGAAATACACAGTTTTTATACAAAGAAGACAACTGACAAGACAGCATTTGACTTATTATTGCTCAAGCTATCACTATACTACATAGTTTAAATAGTCTCAGGATTTTTCCTCAAATAACAATACAGTAAAATCCACATGCTATTTGCATTCCATCTCTCTCTAATCCCAGCTTTCCTTTATGAAAAATATTTTTGCTCTCTGCACCTAAGATAAAATCTTTAAAATGGCAATTTAAACCATGGTATATTTTCAAGACAATGAAAAATTTATTGTAGTATCTCCTACAACATTCTGTGTTTCGCTTTCTCAGAAATATAAAATGTCAACTGGCTAGTAGTATTTGCACAAGAGAAGTTATTCTGAGATGGGAAACAGTAGTACTAAACCAAACTCTTACCTTAAATAACAAGCTATGCCCTTGTATGCTCAATCTAATTTTATTTCTTCTCTGTTTAAGAATGACAGCAGTATTGTTGTCTATTACATGGGTGCTCATATTCATTCAGAAATTTAAAACCAGAAATTTCACAGTTAAAAAATGCATATAAAAATGCATTTTTTACAATAGTTTAAAAATGGCTACTATATCAACATTGCATTATTAAATGGTTTAAACCACATCTACTTTTTAGCATACCTAAAAAGAATGATTCTGTATTAATCTGGATTACAATTTATGTTATTCTTTCACAAATAAACTGGAAAAAAGTTATTCCATGAATATAGCATCTTCTGAAGTAATTTCTTGCTTTTGTAACCCACAGAGCTTCTTACTACTCCACAATGCTCTACCTCAATACATAAGGAAAAAAAATAAGCCAAGCTTTAAAAATACAGCATCTTATTCTAGTCCAAAAAATGTGTACGGCAAAGGAGATGCTACTTTCAAGTGAAACTATACTCTGAGACTTGTGTTCCATTGTCTCCTTTGTTATTAAACTTACACATCCAGTATGAGTTTTCCTATGGTGTGGTTAACTGAATGTGTGGTGCTTTCTGGTTGTTTCAGTTAAAAGAAAATTATTTTCTAAATTATCAAATACAAACTTGGCATATTAAGACGACAATCAAACAAGGTTTTGCATACTGCTTGAATATTGAATATAGAAAGCTGTGGTTCTGATGCATTATGAATCTATTTTCCAAAAAATACAAACAATTGCTTAATGTGCAAAATTTCTGAGAGAATAATTGGTAAGTTCCCAGCAGATATTTGTTAAAGGCGATTCAGTATCTCACAGTTCAATATCTTGCAATTCAAACTGCTGTGAGCAGTGCCTGTGTTCAGTCTTTCAAAATCCATCCAGTTGAAAGACAAGCCTTGTTTTCAGCACTTGACCAGCACAAAGTAAGGCTCCAAGCACTATAGCCCCCATGAACTTCCAATCACTTACAATTTAGCCTGAACTTCCTCGTGCTCGCTCCCCTGACTTACATTGACTGGTAATGCAGCAGGGCAGTAAGATACAAACACTGTGATTTGTTTTTCCGTGTGGGGACACATTTATTGTTACCAGCTATTTTTAGGTTTGCTAAGGTAAAACCCAGTGAACGCCAAAAGAGCAGTAGCTTAAGCTGAAGGCAAATGATTGTCTTTCCAAAGGAGCAGTTAGCTTCCTGGATGAAAACGACATTGTTTCCCTTAACACATCCTGACATCACGGCTGGGGCTGTGGTCAGGAGCCGTGCCACAGTGTGATGCAGGCACAGGTTCAGCAAAGTCTAAAGCACCAGAAATGTAAGAGCCTGTGCTCAGGACTGCACACCCTGAAGAATGAAACAGAAACTACTTCAGAAACCTCTCATCTGAAGCAAATCCAAAGTTCATCAAACAGGCAGCCTATTACAAATACTGCTAAATATTTGCTACAGAACAAGGAAATATGCATAGTTATTATTCATGAAGCTTTATAAAGCTCTTCCCCACCCCAATACCCTTATCATCTGGCTGCAGAATACACAACAATCACACACAGTGATGCATTTCTTTTTTCTTCTTTTTCTTTTTCCAATCAAACTGAAACACTGACCATCCCAAAAACCAAAGATCTGAAGATGAAGAAGGGGCAGTACAGCAGGGCACAGGCAATCCAGGAGGTTCCTAGCATACACTGATGACAACTGCCTTCTCCAAGCGACAAAAGAGCCAACAAGGAGAGGTGCTGTGCTGGACCTTGTTCTCACCAACAAGGAGGGGCTGGTGAATGCAAAGCTCACGGGCAGCCTAGGCTGCAGTGATCATGAAGCAGCAGATTTTAAGGTCCTTGGGACAGTGAGGAGTGTGAGAAGAAGATAACTACCCTGCACTACAAGAGAGCAGACTTTGGCATCTTCAAAGATCTCCTCAGTAGAGTGTCATGGGATAGAACTGTGGAGGGAAGAGCATCCCAAGAGAGCTGGATGATACTGAAATTGTCTCCTTCAGTTTCAAGTTTAATGCCTCCCTACAAGTAGGAAACCAAGAAAGAAAACCAAGAAGCCTGCATGGATGGACAAGGAGCTTCTGAAGAAACTTAGATAGCTTACAGAAGGTATAAAGAGGGAAAAGTAGTCTGGGAGGAATACACAGAAATTGTCCAAAGAGACATGGTTAGGAAAGCTAAAGTATAGCAGAAATAAATCACGCAAAGGACGTCAAGGGTAAGGAAAAAAAGGTTCTTTAGGTATATCAGTGATCAAAGACAGACTCAGGAAAATGTGTGTCCCCTCAGGAGGGATACAGGATACAGAAGACCTGGTTACCCAGGACATGGAGATGGCATTTAGACAGTGGGATTGAGTGTAACCTCAGCGAGTTTGCCAATGACATCAACCTATATGATCAACACACTCGAGGGAAGGGATGCCATACAGAAGGACCTGGCCAGGTCTGAGAATGTGTACAAATCTCATGAAGTTCAACAAGGCCAAGTGCAAAGTCCTGCACCTGGGCTGTGGCAGTCACAAGCACAAATACAAGGTGAGTGGAGAATGGACAGAAAGTACTCTGAGGAAAAGAACTTTGTGGGTGTTAGTGGATGAGAAGCTCAACATGAGCCACCAGTGTGTGCCTGCAACCCATAAATCTGGCCAGCAGGGCAAGGGAGGGGATTCTGCCCCTTCACATTGCTCTTGTGGGACACCACATAAGCATTCAGCTCTGGGACCCCCAATACTATAAAGATATGGACTTGTCATAATAAGTTCAAATGAGGGCCACTAAAGCAGATCACAGGGCTACAGTACCTCTACGATTAAGGCAGGCTGAGAATTGGGGCTGTTCAGCCTGGAGAAGAGAAGGTTCTGGGGGGACCTTGGAGGACGTCCCAGTACAAGAAGGGGGCTACAAGAGAGCTGGAGAGGGACTTTTACAAGAGGATGTAGTCACAGGCCAAGGGGGAATGGCTTCAAACAGAAAGACTGTAGGTTTAGATCAGATCTTAGGAAAAAATTCTTTCCTGTGAGAGTGGTCAGGCACCAGAAAAGGTTCCCCAGTGAAACTGTGGATGCCCCACCCTTGGCAGTGTTCAAGGCCAGGCTGGATGGGGCTCTGAGCAACCTGGTCTAGAGGAAGGTGTCTCTGCCCATGACAGGGGGTTTGGAGCTAGATGATCTTTAAGGTCCCTTTCATCCCAAACCATCATATATTCTATCATCACATTTATGTGTGTCAAAAATCACTTTAAGCATCCTGATCCAGGCATAAAGATGCCTGGGCTGTTCAACATGGTAAGACCACAAATCTAACACAGCTACTCATAAAGAAATCACATTGCATCTGCTCAGAATGTCACAAACTGGAAGAAAGACAACAGCTTTGAAGTTCTAATTTCCTCCATTTAAGAGGCACACATACAGCATCTTCCTCCTCTTCAGCAATTTCCTGCATTTTTTATTCAATTTTCATACCTCAAGTATGGGGCATTGTAACTAATCATTGGCTCAGCACATCTGAATACAAGAGACACTAAGGTTTTACAACCCTATTAGGCTGTTGGTTTAGAAAATCAATAGAGAATGATGGATTGATGTAAAGAAAGCAGTTAGAGTTTAACTTGTGTTCGTCTTTTAGATTTATTTTGCTCAAAACAAAAAAAAAGAGGCATGATATTTAAATGCGACCATTACTAAACCAAGTTGCTAATTTACTGTGGTTTTTTGCATTTAATTAAGCATTTCCTCTGACCAAAAAAACCTGCAACACACCGCTTTCAAAAGCAATGCAGACTTGAAGAGGTAAAGAAAGATGTTCCTAATGAAGGATTTGAATAGTCTGTTTTTTTCAGATTTTTGAAATTGCTTAAAAACATGTGAGAGTTCTCATAATAAACCAGAAGACAAACTTTTCTTGTTTCTCAGTTCCCAGTTAGAATGGGGAAGTCACTAGTAAAATCAAATTAACCCCTCTGCTTCTTACTTTTCCTACTAATATTTACTTTTTAATATATTTTTTATCTTGTTTAAACTTTCACAAACTCATATTTTCTTCTTTTTGTCCATTTAATAGCTTGCTTTCCCTTAAGGGTATTAAAAAAACCAACAACCCACACAAAGCCCTGAAAAAGGCTTGTAAACTTCATTATTCTTTTCTACCCAGCCTTTATGCAGTCAGGTCCTCACACACAAATAGGAGGTAGTGCTTGAAATTATTAATTTCTTGGTGTGAAAACTACTCCAACATGTTAGATTATGATTCTGTTGCAGCAGTTTCTCTGGGATTTTCTTTATGCTCATTTCCCTGTTTCAGTCAATAGGTCTCTCTTTTCTTTAGCGTACTTTGCTCCAAGGACAAGTGCAACTCATCCAGTGCTTGAAGCATGTCTATACATTCTCCAGGGAAATTACAGTTATGCAATACAGACATACCTAAGCAGTCTTAAGATATGATGCCACAAAATATTCCATGTGCACACTATACGCACAGTCAGTTGTACATTAACAAACAAACGTCCTCTGCTCATGTAACCTAACATTAAATCACCTAACAACCTGCCAAAGGCAATTCAGAACGTATTAAAGTAAACGAATGCACCTACACCTACTAACTTGGCACACAAAATAATCCCTAGCTAAAACTAGCATTAAAGGGCTTACAGGTAAGATGTAATGACAGGGCTTCAAAGAAGCTTCACCATCTGTTTGTAAGCTTCTAATTATGTGTGAACCTGTAGGTATTTAGATTTCCTTTATTGAAAGCAGATTCCTGCTACTGAGCACATATCAGTGGTCTATTCTGCTATAAATGAGTGTAATGTTAATGCCAGCCATAAACTTTTTCTTTGTCAGAAACACAGGTGACACTGCTTCAATCACCAAGGACAAATGCAGCACAAGGATGAATGCAGGATTTCTGAAAAACTGAGCTTCTCAAAAAACCAAAACTCCACAGAACCTCTAGCACATGACTGTAAAGCAGTTAGAGTAGGTCAGTGAAGACTGATAAATGTGAAACTGAGCTACCACATGCTAGATTTCAGCGTTCCAATACACATTACACAGGCTGAAATTGTCTCCCACTGAACTTCACTTACTCACATATTGTATCAGCATTACTTGAAATTCCTTTTTCTCTTGATATTTTCTCATCAAGTGTATTTCAAAATTTACGTAACATATGGATATAGCATTTAAGAGAGCACTGGAAGG